TGCTTTTTTATCCTTCGATGTCGGCTCTTCCTATCATTGTGAAGCAGAATTCACCAAGTGTTGGATTGTTCACCCACCAATAGGGAACGTGAGCTGGGTTTAGACCGTCGTGAGACAGGTTAGTTTTACCCTACTGATGTTTGTGTTGTGATAGTAATTCAACCCAGTACGAAAGGAACCGTTGATTCGCACAATTGGTCATCGCGTTTGGTTAAAAAGCCAGTGGCGCGAAGCTACCGTGCGTTGGATTATGACTGAACGCCTCTAAGTCAGAATCCGTGCTAGATCGACGCTTGGACTCGCCGCTCGTCATGAAAGTCATCCTGACGCGTGCAACTTTGCAATTGGCGTTGTCTTAGTGCAAGATTTGTTTTCGAAATGCCGTACAATGCACGGTACGCGGGCCCTCAATTTTTGAGACCAGGCAGTGTGGAAGATGTTAGTGCTCAACTAGTCGTCCTTGGAGTCATCCAAGGCCGCTAACTCGTGCACGCACCATTGATGATGAAGGATGATCTTTCGTTTCGTCGAACTGAGCTCTGGTACCAGATGACGCCGAATTGAATCTAGGTGTATGGACAGAATGAAGAGAACAACGAATAAGAGGGAAAGAGAATAATGGCTAGGGGAAAACTCCACGCTAGGATTATGATAGAATATGAAAAGTAAAGTGTGAATGAAAGAACCCCACAAGCCGGCCTAGGAATGAGAAATGAATGGGCTGAACAAAAAGCAGGCCATAGGCCCAGAAATAATAAAACTGCAAAATGGCGGCCTAAACGAGCGAATTTGAGGTCATAACTGAAGGCCGATGGGCTCCGCCCCATCGGCCCCCTGTGCGTCTCGTTGAGTCCTTTCCAGAAAGTGGTCGCACGCTGAAAACGGACACTCCTAGCAAAAGTTATGACCAAAAATTGGACACCCCAAGGGGCTACTTCCCCAAAAGTTTGCTAGTGCATTTTGCATATTTGTATGATCCAAGAATGATGTTTCGCTACGGGCCGTGACGAAGATTTGGCTTTGTGTTTGAGTTTGGGGCCCGTTTGGTGAGTGTGACTCTACAGCAAAATCGCATCTGCTGCTGCAACTTGGGTTATGTTTTTCAAGCATATATAGGGGGGTACGTTCCGTGAAGGTTTTTTTGGCTGGTTTTAAAAGGCTTGGTTTTTGCCCTTGCTAGGTCGTGTGTTACCTCCTGCGCACCCATGTGACATCGGTGGGCATGATCATGTTTTCACATGCTCGCTTGGGGAATGCCGGCTATCGTTGCATCATGTAGCGGGGGGCATGGTTAGTGAAGGTTTTTCCGGTCGGCTAAAAAAAGGCTTGGCTCTTGCTCTTTTCCGTTTGTTTTTTCGGCGTTTGCAAAGCAAAATGCCATTAAACAAATTTTGGGTGGCATGCCTTTTGTTTTTCACATGTGGTTTTTGAAGTGTGCGCTTTCGGAGAACCACTGCTTTTACCGTTTTGGCTATTGCTTCTTTGTCCCCCAATATGTTTGTTAGTGTGTTTTGCATATCATTATGATCTAAGAATGATGTTTGGTTACGGGTTGTGACGAGGAATTGGCTTTGTGTTTGAATTTAGGGCCTGTTTGGTGAGTGTGACTCTACAGCAAAATCGTATCTACTGCTGTAACTTGGGTTTATGTTTTTTAAGCATATATAGGGGGGTATGGTCCGTGAAGGTTTTTTCGGTTGGTCTTAAAAGGCTTGGTTATTGCCCTTGCTAGGCCCTGCGTTAGCTCACTCCCTCCCTTGGTGCCTCGTTCGGCTAGTGTCCCACCCACTAGCAACAAGAACGGACGTCAAAGCTAACGCAGTTCGAGTTGGCGGTGGGAATCGGTGTTGGGCATCGGTCTGTTGGCCCCCGAAATGCTGGTTGTTGGGATGCCGGCATTTCAAGCGAGGACGATTGGGATGTCCTTGTGGGGCTGACTCTCCGAGGTTGGATATTGGTTAGCCAAGTTTTCTAAATTTGGCTCGGTATGCCGATGTTAGGTGTGTCGGACCTGCATTAGCTCCTTCCCTTCCGGCGTTTGGTTCTCCCATTACACCCACCCAGGACCCGGCGTCGGGGGCTAATGCAGTCGGTTTTATGGTGGCTCTAAGTGGGTGGGACGGTTGGCTACGGTTCTGTTGGCCTTTGAAATGCCGGTTGTTGGGATGCCGGCATTTCGAACGGGGATGGTTGGCTCTTTCGTCCTTGTTGAGCCGACTCTTGGATGGTTAGATTTCGGTTAGCCAAATTTCTTTAATTTGGCTTGGTGTGTCGGCCCTGCATTAGATCCTTCCCTTCCGGCGTTAGGTTCTTCCATTACACCCACCCAGGTGGAAGGACCAGGCCTCCGGGGCTAATGCAGTCGGTTTTATGGTGGCTCTAAGTGGGTGGGACGGTTGGCTACGGTTTTGTTGGCCTTCGAAATGCCGGTTGTTGGGATGCCAGCATTTTGAATGGGGATGGCTGGCTATTTCGTCCTCGCTGTGTCAACTCTCGGATGGTTGGATTTGGGTTAGCCAAGTTTCCTTAATTTGGCTCGGTGTGCCGATGCTAGGTGTGTCGGCCCTGCATTAGCTCCTTCCCTTCTGGCGTTAGGTTCTTCCATTACACCCACCCAGGTGGAAGGACCAGGCATTGGGGGCTAATGCAGTCGGTTTTATGGTGGCTCTAAGTGGGTGGGATGGTTGGCTACGGTTTTGTTGGCCTTCGAAATGCCGGTTGTTGGGATGCCGGCATTTCCAACGGGGATGGTTGGCTATATTGTCCTCGCTGAGTCAACTCTCGGATGGTTGGATTTCGGTTAGCCAAGTTTCCTTAATTTGGCTCGGTGTGCCG